TTAAAAGGAAAATGGTAATGCCATCCGGCCGCTTTCCATCATCATTTTTTAATAATTTAAAAATGTCTATAAATTTAGGAATAAAAATTGTTTGCATATTTATTATTTTATGAATTGTTAAATGATAAATAAAATTTTACATTAGTTTTTTGAATGTTGTAAATATAAAATTATTCTTGTAAATTGTGGGTTACCCCCACTTGACTTTACTAAGAAACCGTCTCTAGGGGATGTTCTTTAAGTGTATAAATAGACAATGATATTTTCACTCATCTTCTCTTTATCTTAGACAATAATTGGTAAATAATAAATATTGCATTAATTTTAATTGTGTTAGTTTTTAGAATGTTGTAAATATAATTTATTCTCGTAAATAAATATGTGATAAATAGTGTTTAATATTTTTGTTGTAAACAGGGATAAACGACTTCCCCATTTTAAAAGGGAAAATGGTAATGCCATCCGGCCGCTTTCCATCATCATCATTAATAATTTAGTAAATGTCTATAAATTTAGGAATAAAAAATTGTTTGCATATTTATTATTTTATGAATTGTTAAATGATAAATACTGCTTTACATTAGTTTTTTGAATGTTGTAAATATAAAATTATTCTTGTAAATTGTGGGTTACCCCCACTTGACTTTACTAAGAAACCGTCTCTAGGGGATGTTCTTTAAGTGTATAAATAGACAATGATATTTTCACTCATCTTCTCTTTATCTTAGACAATAATTGGTAAATAATAAATATTGCATTAATTTTAATTGTGTTAGTTTTTAGAATGTTGTAAATATAATTTATTCTCGTAAATAAATATGTGATAAATAGTGTTTAATATTTCTGTTGTAAACAGGGATGTTGTCTGGTGGAAGGTGAATGGTCTTTTTTTGTGATATTATTGGTCCTGACCTGTCATCTCGGCTTCAGTTATAGCAGACGTAGTTGCAGATCTCCCATGTGTTATTTTTGGACCATTTAGAAAATAACAATAACAACTCCTTCCCCTACTCTCATAAATTTGAGAGAAAGATTTTCACAAGACAGTGTGAAATTATTTTCTAACAAACATTGTATTCAAAAAGTTCATACCTCTATTTTGAATCCCCTTACAGATATAAAAATAGAAGCATACTGCTTCTTGGGCTTCAAACCAATTTGGGAGGACAGTTTGATCTACACATGCATGCAATGAAAGATATGACGACCAGCAACTGCTGATTAAGGCCTTGTCCACACACGCAGTAGAAAGGATTAACCAGCAACTATCTACTAAGCCTTTGTCTACAAACTCACTAGGCTGACCACCAAAATAAGTCTCTATAAGCATATAATGACTTAAATAAAATAAACTCCATTGCAAGGAAAATTGAATATTTTATTGTTATTAATGTCTTTAATAAATAAATTGTCGGACCTTGTCCATTTCTTAATATATGACGTCATTTGTTTACATTTGATACGCCAGAGCAGTTATGAATGTACGAGATTCATGGAAGATTGAAGTTTATAAGCAGTAAATTCGACCTTGTCTACCGAAACGGTTCTTTGTATTAAAAAGAGGTTAAGGCACGTCAGCGTAAATGACGGTTCCGTATAGGATGCAGGTTCGAATCCTGTCAAAGAACGAATATTTTCTATGAAAATTTCTCGGACATTCAGGCCGGTAAATGTTATTTAATACTGTTTATCATAAACAGAGCATTTGCTTAAATACTTGTATCTATAAAAAACAACGTTAAACATAAAAATGTCTTTAATAAATAAATTGTCGGACCTTGTCCATTTCTTAATTTATTGTTATTGTATATTCCTGAAAAGAATCTATAAATTTTATTTCAATTGATGTTCTGCTTCTACTTTTCCTTCAGAAAATAACTGTTTTTTCGTGTCTCAATTAAAAGCTGTTGTTGTTGTTAATGATTAGAATCCTGACACTCAGATAGCAATGAAAACCTGAACAGACTGGATCCCAATAAGGTACGCACTTAATCTTCGATTCAAGTGCAGTAATGTTGATACTTTTTCCAACTTTGCAAATCTCATTCTCCTCTTATCTGCTTGAGCTTACTTGCATTATTTACATTATTCGGATTGTTATCCTCATCTTCATTGCCATATTTACAACGTTTCAGCCGTTGTACGCTCTAGCCTTCTTCAGGTGATTAGATCTCTGAGAGGAGGTATTATGATTACTTGCATTATTTACATTATTCAGACTGCTATCCTCATCTTCATTGCCATATTTACAACATTTTGGCCGTTGTACACTCCGGCCTTCTTCATGTGATTGAATCTCTAAGATGAGATATTATGATTACTTAGAATATTTACATTATTTGGAGTTATTCTCATCTTCATTGCCATATTCACGTTTTCGGCCATTGTACTTCTTCTGGAAACTGGAATTTCGAACTGAACCCTTTATTTTGTCCACTGGGGTAGATTGTTCTAGTTCCACCTGCCAGGCCTCTTCTGGATGTCTCAGTTATTTCCATTTAACTCCAAGTTTTTGGTTCACCATTGCTGTGTCCTGGCATTGAACTCACAACACTTTGCGTCTAGTCATCGAATCTAGCCAACGTCTTTATCCACTGGGCCACGTGTATGAATTTTTGGGACTTATAAACCTAATTTCTCAGCAACCTTTTTTTTTTCTTTTTGACTAGTGCTCATATTGCAATTCTGCTTGTGTTGTTCAAAAATATTGAATTTGTTCATCTGAACAATTACCATGAATGTATTTATAGAAAAGGTACTGGTAAACATTTTTATAACAATGCAAAAGTTACTGAAGCCGAGCTGCCAGATCAGGACCAATAATATTGCCTATTGTTTGGATCTTATCAAGGAGCTCAAGGTAAACAGCAAGGGCACTGGACCATATGTGGCAACAATATTTGAAGCATGGACGAATGGTAGACTTATAGATATGTAAAATAGATTCCAGAGAGAAAAATTGTCTCGCTTGACACAGTGTACTGACTTTCTTAGCAGCTGACCTAGAAATAGATTCAACAGGGCCTAGAGAATGTAACACTCACAAGACAATGAAACCAAAAGAAGCAGGTCTAACCAGAGAGTAACTTAAGATTGTATGAACAGGGGAAAGACCAATGACTTTAGGCTCCAGAAACAAAAGACAGGAGGTTGTGGAGAGCCATGATCACACACAGCCCACAAAAAAAAAAAAAAAAAAAAAAAAAAAAAAAAAAGTAAAAAAATACCATTCAAAAAGTTGTTAAAAATTATTGATTACACCCCTTTTTTGTTCTAACCAGAAATTTTCGGTCAATCCTATTGGGTGGCATTTAAAATGGCTCCTGTGGAGGGCTCTTGATCAGGCCTTCATCACAATAGGTAGGGATGGGTAGATGCAATAGGCAACAATAAACTACAGAAGAACTCAAAATTGATCACTGCATTTAAGCTTACCTTTTAAAAGTTAAATGATAAAATTAAGTGGCAGCACTTAGAATTAAGACAATTAGGCCCTTATTTTCCCTAAAAACAATTATTTTTCTTTTATGGATGACTTTTGCTGGATTTCGCAATTAATTTTGATTATTCCCAAAGGTATAAAAATTGTTATTGTACAAAAAATTTTGTCACAAATAAAAAAAATAATTGCAGTAATGGAAACTTGGGAATCCAAAATTTCAGGAGTGCATGTCCTGATATGGCCCAGAATGTTTTTAATTTGCTCATGGAGTTGGCCTAATTCAAAAGTGGTATATGTTGGGCTACAGCCTTTAGGAGTAAAGTTGAAAATTGTGACACACTGACATTTGTATTTATTATATAGGAGGAGATGAGCTATTGAGAGTTATGTCCCTTTAATTAAAAAGTGTGACACACTGACATTGGCATTTATTATACAGTGTAACCCGAATATAAGAGAAACCCAGATATAAGAGAGATTTTCTCTGGTCCCAAATTAGAGCCTGTGTTAATGTATATAAAATAGACCAAACCCGGATATAAGAGAGATTTTCTCTGGTCCCAAATTAGAGCTTGTGTTAATGTATATAAATTAGACCAAACCCGGATATAAGAGAAACTCGGATATAAGAGACTTCTTCTCTGGTCCCGACAACTCTCTTATATCCGGGTTACACTGTAAAAATGATGTTTTACTTTTTCATGGATTTTTTTTTGTTTATTGATCAGTGTTCTGGCTTATCCATTCTACAGCCTTCCTCTCTTTCTTTTGATAATTTTGACATGAGCCATTAATGTGCCAAGGAGTTCTTCAGATATTTTTCTGACTTCAGTGTTTCGACTGCTCAATTTTATGCCTCTTCCTGCTACCATACAGACAAGGAGTTGTTTTTTTAATGCATACATCTACCAATAGATGCATTTGAAAAAAAAAAAAAAAATGTACAGAGCAAAATCAAAATCTTGTGAGCCAATAGGAATCTCTCATCATCATTATGTACTAGAAAATGGTTCAGCCATGTCACATGGCAATGACAGCTTCTCCAAGATCATCCTACAAGACAATGTTGATGGAGGATGCAGGTGGGAGATGACAGCATAATAGCTGGTCAGACATCAAAGAGTGGTTGGACACGGCAATGGCGGAATTACTGAGGGCCATCGCCAACATATCAGCCTTGGAGGAGGTAAGCTGTTTCATCTGCCCTCAGGTCCCACCAACAAATGAAACATTTGAGGGACTGATGATAAAGAAGCAATGCTAGTAATTATATACAAACTAATTTCAGTCTGTGATGCAAAATTCCATGAATGGCATTTTTGGGGAGTGTATTTGAAGCTATTAGCTGAAATCCAGTAGACCCCCCTCCCAAGCAATGATCACACCAGAAAAGAAAAACAAACTATATTCGGTTACTAAACTTACATATTTATCTCAACTTTTTACACAATCTTTCATCAATAGTAGTAATCAGTCATTTTTTTTGTTTTTAATAATCCAAGGCAAAAGGTAAAGAAGCCTATGAGAGGTGAAGACTGGGTGGGGTCAGCACAGATGATTAGGACCTGCCAAGATCTTTGGTGACATTTTCTCTGTATTCCCTGCCTCTGTCAATCAGGCTCTTGCTGACAGGGATGTAATACCAACCCATGTAGTCTTGGTTCTGGCGCATCATATCTTTGACACGAGCTTCCAATTTCCTGGGGAGGCAAGAGAACAAAAAATTGAAATGTGGGTGTTGCTGTAGGGGGAGGCAAGGGAATAAAACAAAACAAAAAACTGAGATGTGGGTGTTGATGTAGTGAGGAGGCCAAAGAAAAAAAAAAACTAAAAAACAAAAACAAAAAAAAAACAAAAACATTGAAATGTGGGTGTTGCTGTAGGGGGGAAAAAAAAAAAAAAAACAAACAAAAAAATTGAAATCTGGGTGTTGCTGTAATGATCCAGACTAATTTTTATTTTTTTCACTATCATCCAAAAAGTATCCCAAAATTTTTAAAAACTTTAATCATTTCTAGTTAGTATAGTAATAATAAAAACACCATTCAAATGCTTAAGAAATAAAAATTTATTTTCAATCATTGTCTCTGTGCCTGGCAAACCACTACTTCAAAATTTGTTTTTAAGGCAAGTAATATTTGTTTTTAAGGCAAGTAATATAGGTTGTAAAAGTTAAAACACTAAAGTTTTAAAAATTAATATATATATATATATGGTTGTCACTTATAGGAAATGAATAAAATGCTTCTGAAATGTTAACTAATCTATTTCATTGAAATAGGCCCCATTTGACAGTTCTCCAACGTACCTATAAATTCTTAATCCCATCTTTAAAAAAATTCTCATCCTTTGATGTGATAAAAAGTTCAAATGCTTCGATTACCTCTTCCTTATTGGTGAATGCTCTATTGCATATGAAAAGCTCAAAATGCTTAAATAAATGATAATCAGTAGGAGAGATATCAGGTGAATATGGAGGATGAGGCCAACTTTCAGAATTCAGGCTATGCAATTTTTGGACAGTTGGTTGAGAAGGGTGTGGCTGTGCGTTGTCACAGCGAAATTAGGCCATCCCTATTCACAAGTCTAGGATGTTCCTTTTTCAGTTTTTCATTCATATACTCAATTTCTCTACGAGGTTGCTGTTATTGCTTTCCCTTGAACTAAGAATGAATAACCCCTTTGAAAGACCACCATACAGTAACCATTAACTTTTTAGGATACAATAGAGGTTTTGGGTATTGTTTTGGTGATTCCCTTGCATCTAACTACTGGTCTACTCTCTCACTGTTGTCAAAGAGTATCTATTTATTATCACATCTAATGATTTGATATAAAAATGGTTCTTCTTTTTTCCCCCAGTTTGTACTCAATACAATAAGATTATTCACCATTGTTTCATTGTAATCATTTATATTTGGGCTTATGAGTAATAATATATTGAAAGAAAAATTATCTAAAAAGAAAGAGTCAGGAATAAAAGTTCTTTTTATATACTAAGGAGGTTACTTCGTTAAATGACTGGATCAACAACCAACCCCAAAAATGCGTCATTTCCTGTGTGACAACCTGATACAAAAAAAAAAAAAAATATTATTAAAAAAAAAAAAAAAAAAAAAAAAAAATCTACAAAAATTAACTGAAAGTTACAAATTTATATTTAAACATTTTGGTTATCTTGACTCGTCTTGCATGGAAATGTTCCTATTATTTAATTTTTAGGCTCAGTGTAACTTTTATCAGACTTAAAGAATTCTGCTGTCCGAGGCTCATTTTCTATATCATTATAATTCTGCAGGTTTCTAAGTTTGTTAGCACAACCATTACGCCTAACGAGTATCTCATAAATAATGGACGGTTCTGTTTTAGATCCAAGGAAAAGTAGAAAAGACGCATCACCGTTTGATTTCAGTGGGAAGAAAGAAAGATGATGTGATAATGCTCATGTGTTTTTAAACCCGCCTCTGTGAAATGGAACCCCCACCTCCAAAAAAACAAAAAACAAATACACACAACAATCAAGACAGACACAGAGCATTCTAATTGTCCAATTTTTTTTTTTTTTTTAAAGGTAATCAAAAACAAAAAATTAATCTAAGTGCAGTTTACTATACTGGTAACAAGATCTCATTAATTATAGTTGAGATGACTAGATGTAGCCGTAAGTTCTATGCTAACAGTTTCTTTTCTCACACCTCTCACTTGTGGAATTCCCTTCCGGCTTCATGCTTACCAGCCAACTTTAATCTACAAAAATTTAAATGCAATGTCAATTACTATCTACTGACCTCCTGATTACTCTTTTTTCTTTCTGTTCATCATTATTAATGTTTCTGTTCCTAATTCTTCCACATCCTGTAACCCCTTGTGTCTTAGTGGCTTTATTGCCTTATATGGGGTGATACTGATTAAAAAGAAGAAAGATAGATAGATGTTTTTAAATGCAATGTCAATCTCTATCTACTGTCCTCCTAATTATTCTTTCCTCTTACTGCTCATTATTAATGTTTCTGTTCCTAATTCTTCCACATCCTGTAACCCCTTGTGTCTTAACATGAAATTTTTTACTGCCTTATATGAAATTTGATACTGATTAAAAAAAGAAAAAATAGATAGATGCTTTTAAATGCAATGTCAATCTCTATCTACTGTCCTCCTAATTATCCTTTCCTCTTCCTGCTCATTATTAATGTTTCTATTCCTAATTCTTCCACATCCTGTAACTCCTTGTGTCTTAGTGGCTTTACTACCTTGTATGGGGTGATTCCGATGATAGATACATGTTTTTACAGTTGAGCTGGCTAGATGTAGCCATAAGTTCTATGCTAATAGCTTTTTTCGGACCTTTCGCTTATGGAATACCCTTTCGGCTCCATGCTTTCTAGCCAACTGGTAACAAGATCTCATTAATTTATAGGTGAGTTGGCTAGATGTAACTGTTCAGATCAAAATCTCCATTTACATAGATTTCGATCCAAAGAGTTGAACATCTCAGTGTTCACAAAACAAATTTATAATCAAAATGCATAATTAAAGTCTATCTTATTAACACACACACATATATATATATATATATATATATATATATATATATATATATATATATATATACATGTGTGTGTGTGTGTAACATAAAACTGTGTATATAAATATAAATAAATATATATATGTATAATTATTTATATATTATATGTCAGTACTTATTAGAAAGCGCTCAATATCAGAGATAGAGATAACATATTTGGTTGGATAGATGTGAAGAAAATGACCCTGGGTTTCACGCTTTTAGGCGATCATCAGACAAACTGATTAATTTTTTAAAATTTTGGGTTTATATAGATTGCTTGTATTGGTGTTGTTATTATGGAAGAGGTGGAGAAGGAAACATTGATAAATAAAAGAAATTTATTCACTGAAAAATATGTCTTGCATACATTCACGAGAAATTTTCGTCTAATTTATAATCTTTGAATTTCAACATACAAAGCATATATGTATAGACAACGACACCACCCATTTATACATACATATGTCATATCGATACTTTATTACATATGTTTATATATGTATGAGTTTAACAGACGACCAAAGTATGTATATATGTCATATACATCGATGTTTCCGTTAGTCACGATGACAACATTTAAAGTTTCCCCACCACTTCCACAATAACATTAATGCACGCAAATCTACATAAAACCCAAAATTAAAAAAAATTAATCAGTTTGTCTGATGATTTTTCAAAGCATGAAACCCAGGGTCACAAACTCACATCTATGCAACCAAATATATATATATATATATAAAGAATTGGTAATAAATATAACTTTTACTTTCAACAGGATGAGGCATAAATTAATTTTTTTCTCTCAAAGTAAGAAGTTATCTTGATACGACATTTCCAGGAAGATGGCTAGGATGATGTGGCAGAATTGAGTAGCCTTCTCGCTCAACAGATTTGATCCCAATGGATTTTGCTATATAAGGAATTATGAAAGATTTTGTTTTTGCAAAGAAACCGAGAAATAAAGATGACCTCAAGTAATTTTCATTTGAGATGCATTTATGACTTTTAATTTAGATCAGAACCACTTGTGTCATGACATTTGTCTTGTCAAAGCCTTTTTTTATGTTGTAGAGAATGCATTGAAGCAAGTGGCTTGCAGTTCAAACAGGTATTGGATAATTTATTTACTATTGTTTACCAGAGCATTTCATTGTTATTAACCAGAACCACTTTAATAATAAATTTCTGGCCGGTTGATTAATTGCTTTGCTTTTATTGTCACACACACACTATATATATATATATATATATATATATATATATATATATATATATAGTTTTAAGGTGTGCTATATTTATGGGATAAAGTGCTCAATATCAGAGATAGAGCATATGTAAATATAAATATAAAAGTGAACATTGAAGTCAACACTCAGAGGCGACAGGCTGTTTCATGCTGGACACAATCATCAGGATGCCTTATTATACATATATATATATCTCCAAATGTAATTAGAATGAAAAGAATATAAATTCAAACATTCATAACATTAATCTTTGTTCAGCACCTGATGAGATGCTTAGGTTCAAGCATCAAAACAAACATGCATCTTTGTAGTGATTACTTGTTTGTTTGTATGTAACAACTTATATATATATATATATATATATATATATATAAAAATCAATATTTCTTTATTCTGATAAATTTTGTTGCTTGATTAGAATCTAAAGAATGTGAAGTCACACTAATTGTCTAAAGAAAAAAAAAATTCCTGTTCTTTTACAAGCAGACCGTTTAACCTCAGTTGTGCCAAAAGTTGGACTTGATCTTTTGTAGCTTATTTGACCTCAATTTACCAAATAATTAATCCAGCCTTTGGCATGATATGAAGAAAGTTCAATGATAGGAACAGATGGGAAGAAGTTGGACTGCAATGATTTTAATGAACTACAATGTAATATCTTAGAGCCCAAGACAATTGAAAGAGAAGTTAATGATTTACCGATGGGAGAGAGCTGTGTATCTTTCTGTCCCCACAATCCCTGATAAGTATCAAAGAAAAGAGAAAAAAGTACAACACACTTTGGAACCGACATGTTTTCTTGAGGAAACACATCTACTTACAATTGCTTTCTCTTCTCATTTTCAATATGCAGGACATGCATTTTCTTTTCGTAGGATTTTTGCAGTGGTTCAAACCACATCTTATGGATAAACTGTGTGATTGGAGACTGAAAAAAATAAATAAAAAAAAATAGAAAAAGTTAATTAAAAAGCAGAATATTATGAACTGAGTAAAAGATATATATATATATATATATATATATATATATATATATATATATATATATATATATATTATAAATTAATTGATTTAAAATATGTTTTTTTTTATACACAGTTCCAACCATTAAAATTTCTTGAAGATGAAATGGAACTAATGCTTTTAATTTAATTGCAAAATTAAATTGGGTTTTTAGCTTCTATTTTTTGAAACATGGTTGGAACTGTGTAGCTAAAAAAAAAAAACATTTTAAATCAATTAATTTATAATATTAATGCTCTGTAAATTCACATTGAGCACTACTTTATAAAAATAAAATATCTATAAGAACACCGGATTTTATATCTTACTGTTCTTTTTTTTTTATATATATATATATATATATATATATATATATATATATATATATATATATATATGTACATACACAATAATGTTCATCCTGTACAAGTTCCAAGAGCCATTCAGGACAGAGGGTTACAGAGTAAGAGGTACAGTTTATGGGATATGTAGGTTAAGAGTGTAGTGATTGAGGAAGCATCCTCTTGGGAGTCAATTACACAAAAGACTTGGGACTAAGAGAAACAACAATTAGGAGGAGGTGCAGATAGACTAACAGTCATCACTGGAAATCACTGTTGGTGAGCAGGGTTCAAATCCTGGCTGAGACGGTTTGTGTATACTACAAGCTTATTAGTTCATAGTGTGCACCACCTGCCCCAAGAAGGGGTGAGGATGTTCCCCCCTCCCCCCCCCCCGACTGCCCAGTTATGGGTTAAACAAATCTGCTTAGAAAAATCCAGAACATCAGCTGGAAATCCCCTGTAGCACAATTTCTGGAGAATTGAAATCGAGAGGACAGGGAGGTCACCTCATCCTTTACATCCATGGCGTCCGCCTGGAGGTGTCGCCTCACCCTTACGTCCGCCTGGAGGTGTCACCCAGCCCTTACGTCTGCCTGGAGGTGTCGCCCAGCCCTTATTTCCATGGTGTCCACCTGGAGGTGTCATCTCAAGAAAGTTGACTTTCCAGACACCACGGCTTGGGACTCAGGGTTGGACATTTGGGATCTGGGGATAGCGATGCAGGATCAAGCATTATGGAAAGGGACTGTTAATTGTGTTCTGATCAACCATAGGGAGGCTGGTTTTATTTGTTGTGTTTTACAGAATATCAACCTCAATGGGTTATTTAATGCCGACAAAGATTTTATTGCTGGTAATATTTTGTTTTGTCAAAATTCTATTTCTGGTAATATTTTTTCAAAAACGTATTGTTGGTAATATTTTTTTTTTTAAATTTATTGCTGGTAACAGTTTTTTTTCTTCAAAAATTTATTGCGGATAATTTTTTTTTTTTTTTCAACAAAGTATTCCTGGTATTAAAACCCATTTTTACCCCAGTTTCATTGTTAACTATGATAGTGGCTACTATCATCCATGGCTGACTAATTTTATGGTAGCTACTGGCAACTATCGATATACCTGATAGCCTTTCTGAAGGTGAATTATTTTGTGTGTTTATAAATGACAAAATAATAAGAAGACATAATTATGAGTCAGGTGAAAGAAAGAATAAACAAATGCCAGTGTCTTCTTGTATATAAACACAAGGAAACATGTCACTTTTTTTTGACAAAATGAAAGCTTTCTTAGTGATTTTGCTACTTATTGCACACCCACAACCCCACAAGGAGTAATAAAAGTTAAAGTACATTGAATTATTCATGCATTTCTTTTTAGTTTTCAACATCAAAACATTCATGCAAAACATCAAAATATTACTCATTCATTCTTTTATTAGTGGACAAAAAAGAAAATCTATAAACACAATCCAAAGAAAGTTATAACAATTTTAAAACAGTAGGTGTGCATGTTTTTGTACCCTTTTAGTAACCCTTATTTTAATTTCAAACATTTTCTTGAATTTCATTGGTTGTTAAATAAAAAATAAGCTTCAAGAAATTTCCATAACAAAACAGTCAAAACTTGTGCAAAAATAGGCTCAACTGACATAAAAAGAAATCTTTCTCAAATTCATCCCTAATTTAAATGTTTCAAGAAATCCTATTGGCTAAAAAAATAAAAAAAAATACAATATTTGCCCACACATTTTTCAGAAAAATTCACAACAAGCTAACAAGCCGCTGGAGCCGATTTTGTTGTTAAACAAAACTATAAATAGAAAAGCAAATGAATTTTCGTCGCATTTGAGACTCACACATGCAAAAGATCCACACCAGAATTATGTGTCAAATTGCTGGCAAAGAAACAAACTTTCTTTATGAGAGATTAGAAAAATTTACACAACAAACATTTTCACTTGAGATCTTTCATAGAAAAATCTTTTGTCTAAGTTAAATTCAACCTTTTTAATCAAAGGCAGACAACTTTTTAGACATTGAACATTTCTGAAACAGCAAAGAACTTTTTCTCTAAAATATACCTTTGCACACATCATAAAAAACAAAGAAATTGTAAATTGTATATATAAAATTGATATGTCCCGGAAAGGGATATATTTGTTTGAAGTAGCAAAGTGGTTGTTGACTATTGTAACCGGTTAGGACAATCTAGCAGGTAACCCTAATGGACTGGTCCTCGTCATAGAGGTAGGCAATAGGCGTAGCCAATAGGTGTAGGCCATGTACCTCCATATCAGTCTGTATTCATGGCTGACACCAGCCAATCATATTACTTTGGGTCGGGGGGAACCAGGTGTATGCATATTCATTATATCAAAAATTTAATCTGTTGTTTCAAACAGGTATTTTTTTGTCTTGATTGAATATCGTTACCATTTGGCCATTTCTTATAATTTATGTTTGTGGATATTGCATATTTTATTTGCAGCACAATCTTAAATATTCACGCAACATTCTTAGATCCACTACACCCTCAAAATAATAAAAAAAAAATAATGCAGCAGCAGGGGGAATAATTCTAGAAATAAATTACGTGGTAAAAGGTTAAACATCTATAATACAAAGAATAAACATGTTTAAGTCTTATGTTTCCTTTCAGTGTTTCCAACCCCCAACTTCCTAAGCAGTCAAGTTTTCCTAAGAACAAGAAAGCAATACATACATTCTTCCTACCTGTCAATAACCATTTACCCTATTGCAAGACAAAGCACAGCTTAGTAAAGCATTTATAGCAATAAACACACCAAAGAGAAGGAAAAGTGATCAACTTACTGAGGAATATTCCCATTCTTTTGGTTCGTATCCTTCTGGGATGTCAGCTAATTCTGCTTTTCCTGGAAAGTCAAAATATCACCATTAAATAAAAAAAAAACAAAAAAAACACTTTATTTTCATAAGAGGTTAGGTTGGTTAATTTAATTACATATCAACCCTTGTTGGGGGACCTTGATGTGGTATAATGGTTTGCAAGCTTGTCTTGATCGATCAATTACAATTGAGTACTGAGTTTGATCCTCAATGGGTGCCCTATACTTTCGGCCATGTGCCACATTTAAGCTACACTTAGAAAAAAAAAAAAAATCATCCTTATTGGGTTATTTAATGTCAAATACAAGTCTCATAGGACAAAAAATACTATGAATTAGTAGACCTATGTCTGGTTTATACTAAAGTCAAAGATGACATTCTGTTGACATAGAAGATTGCTATGCAATGATAATGGTCATGGAATAGCAGACACAGATCTTAAATTCATGATGCGGTTCTATGACAACATAACAGAATATCATCTTTGATGGTGAATATCTTTGTTTAAACGTCCACTTAATCACTCCGAAAACGGCTCATGTGAGCCGAAAGCTTAGATCAAGGAACAACATAATAAAAATATCCAAATGTTGGACAATTTTTGTCTTTATTTTCACCTGAAAGACTTGTCCTGGTGTTTTTGGTTCATGAAACGAAACAAGTTATGCTTACAAACTAGAACAAAAAAAAAATAATGTCAAGTGATTATGAACAGAAAAATACATGAATCCAGCAATGGTGGATTCTTGGGATTTGAGGATGAATAAAATTTCCTTGATTGTTTTATACTTTTTTTTACATGCATATTTTTTAAATTTTTAATTCATTTTTATGAAAATAAAACCACCCTTGGACAATATATATTTACTACAATAGTATATTTACTAACCACCAACTAGTATGTTATTGCTATACAAACAAAACTGGACAAATGATTAACGTAAACACTACATGGCACCAGTAGGTGAGGAACGCATGGTGAATGTGTTGTATAAGAATGACTTTTTTTTTTTTCGTAGAAATTTCTTTTCAATATTAGGGTGCGTCTTCCAAGCCGCAATGTCCTGTAAGCCGGAAAATACAGTATTTCTGTTTTTAGGTTATAGGACTTGATTTTTTTTTTGTACAAAACAAGCAATAATTACCATATTTGACAGTGTGTAACTCTTTTTTTTTTTTTCCCCCCCAGCAACACACACAAACACACACGGGTCTGACGCTGCCTGGTAGATGAGATTTCCAGATTGCATCCATATTAATCAAGGTGACCCAGGCTTTAGCTATTCGATGTACTGTATTTTCCGGCTTACAAGATACATTTTTTCTCCTAAAAAAATACCCTGAAAATACGTGTGCATCTTCCAAGATGGATGTAAGGTAACACCCAGGCTCAAAGACTGATAGGGACGTGGATTTATATGTTGAGTCATTACACTATAATGTTAGCTATCTAATTACATATGATGTAACCTCAGTACTTAACTGTTACAAGTATTTCCAAGACTTCCTGGAGCCGAGCCACAACATTAAACATACTCTGTTTACTAGCAGCAGTGGGAACCTTTCTGCTCTTGACTAGTATGTCATTGCCATACAAACAAAATCGGATGAGTGATTAATGTAAACAATACGTGGTGCCAGTATGTGACGGACACATGGTGAATGTGTTGTTGTATGAGAATGACTTTTTTTTCTTAGAAATTTCTTACCAATATTAAGCTGCATCTTTCAAGCCGTAGTGTCTTGTAAGCCAGAAAATATGGTACTAGGTAGGTGTTCACTTCTTGGAGGGGAGAGGACTTATCCTCTTACAAAAGATGCTATCACTGTATTCCAGGGCATATATTTTTGTTTATGGGTAGACGCAATAGTAATAACAATGTAAATGCTTTAATTAACCCTGTGTTAGTCCCACGGGGTGTTTTGCTACCCCTAAATTTTTAAAGTACTCGTAATTCCTAGTTGTCAACCTGTTCACTTGTTCCTTGCCATTACTCTCCTGATTTTGCACAGTTGTCGTGGGAGGCAGATGCCAGGGGGATTATCCATTTCAAGAAATCTGAGATGACTAATGCAGGGTTAAGAAATCTAATTTTGCAAATTCATGTTATGCAAAGGTTATGAAACAACAACAAACTTGGTTGTTTTTTAAAAAAAAAAAAAAAAAAAAAAAAAAAAGCCTCTTGAAATATAAAATCTCAACCAGGCCGAGGGAGAGCAAGGTTCAAGATTCGTCCAACTCACCTATGAAAAGGTTGACAAAGAGTGTCAGTAAGCCAAGTGGGACAGCACCGAGCATAACATAGAAATGCTGAAATGAAACAAAATTAAAAAAAAATAATATTAAAAGCATGGTGGAGTGAATTACAATTTGCATGTTAATTTTGTTAGATTCATGCATTTTAATCATTGCATATGGTTAGCCGACTCATTTCCTTGCCTTTAACACGTGCGTGCATTTTAGCTACATACACCTTATCTCCCTCAGGTGCTTGTCAAATTCTGGTATGTTACAGAATCCCATTCTGTGCAAGCATTTGCATTCGCTTACACACACCGATACTTGTGTTAGATTGATCTTTGTATCGTTGTCTCTGGACCATCGTGCTAACCTCTTGACCTCCCACTGAATGCATAGGTGCCCATCTGCTGATCTAGATATACATATACATCCTAAAAGATTCTGAAGAGGAAGTCCAATTTTTTAAATTGGATTGAACTATCCCTTTGTGGGGGTCACACATATCATAGCAGCAGAAATAGCCTTGCGTTCATGGGAATAAGAATATGTACAGAAATAACACTAAAAGCATGTTAAATTGTAAATTAAAATCATAAAATTTTATTTATTTTTGTGTGTGTATGTGTGTGTGTATTTTCGTTACAAGTGTTTTATGGTTGCATGTGATAAAAGGAAAAAGTCACTTTGAATTATAAAAAGTAATGTTTTGAAGAGAAGATATGGTTGAAAGTTTTGTGGGACACCAGGGACCTCTTCTTGCCAATGTCAAACGGAGAAAAATGGCGTGGTTTGGACACATTACAAGGCACAACAGCCTGTGCAAGACCATCATGTAGGGTACCATTGAAAGTGGACATAGGAAATGACGCCAATGCAAAACTGGTTGGACAATATTAAACAATGGACAAGTAGGACTGTATGAGAATTGCTGATAGCTACCATTGATAAACCGTTGTGGAAAAGAGTTAGTGTAGCTTCCACATTCGGATCCGCCCTACAATTACAAAAGTCAAGGGATGATGATGTTGATGCAATTCTAATTACATGGAGCTTCATATTTCAAAAGTCTGTTCCGTTGTAACCATTAAACAGTGGTCAACAGTATCTCCACAAGCAGGAGAATGATTGTCAGACATAGGTTTGCTATGAAAAAAAAAAACAAAAAAAAAATAAGAATAACAGAATGTCAAGGTAATGGTAAGTGACACCATTATACTTTAACATCACAGTTATGCCCAGATCTATATCAATTGTGCTTTGTCACGTGGTAAGTTAGTGTAAACACAGGGTAAGCTAATTGTGGAAAGGAGACATATATTATTTCAGTACCAATAAAGCATGATAGCAGCCGTTACATAGATAAGACATTCCGTTTCCGTAATCAAGGAGGCAGTCAACATCCCTCAATTTGTGGACTAGGGAATACTTAATGGCAGACATTACGACCCATGGATTCTTAATGATCATGACCAAATGTAACAAACAGGCAATACCAACTCAAATCACACCCAAAGGTCAATGTACGAGCCACAAGACATATCCAGCAGGTCATTTCAGTATTTTTCACTTCTGTGGGAAATGGGAGCCTAACTCACCAAGATTCACAACATCGCTAATCGAACCTGGAAGGACTGACATTATGTGGCATGATCTGATGAGTCACAGTTCCTCTTGGTTTGGGTGTGGCACAAACTCATGAGGCCAAGGGCTCTGGTTGTCAATAAGGCATCGTGCAGGCTGGTGATGGCCCCATAATGGTGTGTTGTGTTCACATTGCATGGATAGGATCTACTGGTTTGCATAAATATGCTATTGACTAGTGGCTGCTATATTGCACTGTTTTGTGACCACTTGCACTCATTCATGTAATCCATGTACCCCAACAAGGAGTGATTATTCCAGCAGGATATAGCACAGTGTCAACAGACCCAAATTCATCAGAACTGGTTTGAACAGCATTCTGGAGACTTAAAACCATACCATGACCACAGCTGAGATCAGCGGGATGCAGTAGAGACACTTATTTGCATACAAAGATTTTGCACCTACAAATATCAAGAAGCTGGTATAGGTCAAAATCTAAAACTGTGGTTACGGTGTTTTGAAGGTTAACTTTGGTTACAATCACACAACTGTCCACATCATATGAAAGAAAAATAAGTTAGGCTGAATGACAAAAAAGGAAAAGTTTCCTTGAAAAGAAAAAAATAAATAAATAGAAAAGTCATTATAATCTTGTATACTACGGGGAAAAAAGCACATACCAAGAAAAAGAGGCACTATCACTTAAATTTGATTTAAAGAATAAAAAAAAAATGGTCAGGCAAACAGAGAAACAACCCCACAATAAGACAAGTATGTAATGGACAGTTTTTTTACATGACACGTTTTTTTTTTTGTTTTTTAACTAACTTCACTCTTTGGCAATGTTTACTGTTTTAAAAAAGCGATGATTTGAATTGTAATAAAACCTAAACATATGATGAAAGTGAATTTATACATTTTTTTCGTTCTTGAGTATTGACAACAAAAAATATTAAACCCTGTTTACTTGATTGTTTATTTTGTTGCAGGAATGCTAGTGGTGTTTATGTAGAAAACGCACACCTCCTGGTATATTTTTCCCCTGTAACAATTATTGTGGACTCAAATGTGAGTCCAAGTAATAAATGTATAAAAAAACAAAACAGTATATAAAGCAAATGACAATGAATGTACAGTGTAACGCGCATATAAGAGAAACCCGGATATAAGAGAGATTTTCCCTGGTCCCAAATTAGAGCCATACTTACTTAAACAAAATAGACAAAACCCGGATATAAGAGACTTCTTCTCCGGTCCTGACAACTCTCTTATATCCGGGTTACACTGTATTAACAAAAATATACAATGACAATAAAAGAAGTAAATGTTAAACAAGAAAATGTGTGTTTGTGTGTATGAAGTTTGTATAGGAAAAGTCCGAGAGAAAAGTAATAGATTGAGAGTGAAGTAAATGTGCTTTAGTGGGGGATACCTCCCCCTCACCCACATGCGACTAACTCTTATTGTCTAAGATAAAGAGAGGATGAGTGAGAATATCATTATCTATTTATAGACTTAAAGATCATCCCCTAGAGACTGTTTCTTAGTAAAGTCAAGTGGGGGTAACCCACAATTTACAAGAATAATTTTATATTTACAACATTCGAAAAATTAATACAATTAGAACTAATGCAACGTAATATTTATCATTTACCAATTCATGAAGTAATACATATGAAAACAAATTTTAATTCATAAATTTCTAAACATTTGCTAAATTATTAAAATATGTGAACCAACTATAAGGAAGTTATTATTATTTGCCATTTTATAAAGTTCGAATCGATTGGTAATTAACCAATGTTTTGCCAAGCATTCCAATAAATAATATAATAAATAATGTTTAATATTTTTGTTGTAAATTCACAAGAACAAAGAAAACGTATAAATTCACTTTCATCATCTGTTTAGATTTTATTCCACTTCCAAAATCCATGTCCTGGGTATGACAATAAACAACAGCAAGGCCTCTGATCAAGAGGTTTTGAGGAGCATGGAACCACCTCTTAATTGCTGGTGTTCCCAGGTCCACCCTGACCTGGGGTGGTAGCACCTGTTAGGGTCCCAGCTCTGGGCAAATAGTTGACCCCACAACCTGACTCAAAACACTATGAAAGTGTAAAAATAGATTTTAATACCAGAAATACTTTTAGAAAAATTAGTATCAGCAATAAATATTTGAAAAAAGAAAATATTACCAGAAAGAAAAATCTTGTCAGCATTAAATAACCCATAGAGGTTAATATGCTGCAAAACAAAACAAACTATACACTTTAAAAAAAAAAAATACTATGAACTATACACTTTTGGTAAAAAAAAAAAAAAAAAAAAAAAAAAAATTTTGTCAGCATTAAATAACACATTGTGGTTAATATGCTGTAAAACAAAAAAAACTAAATCTACTTCCAAATCATCGCTTTTTAAAACAATAAATATTGCTAACGAGTGAAGGTAGTTAAAATAAAAGTAGTGTTATGGGAAAGAAACTATCCATTTAACATTGTTTTTTGCAAGCACCAAGATCCATGTTTGCCAATATATTATTTACAATTTCTAAAGATATTCTTTTGAAAATGGTAAAAAATAAATCTTTTTCTAAAGAACCTTTGTTTTTCATAAATTTATAACAATATCTATAAGCACTAAAATTTTAAATAAACCTATAATGATGAGTAACTAGAATCATAATTTTTATTTACCATTTTATAAAGTTTGAATTGATTGGCAATTAGCTGATGTTTTGCCAACTATTCCAATAAATAATTAATAAATAGTGTAAATAAACAATAAGAAAAACTGTTCTTTTGATGCTACATCTTAGTATGAGTACATTTATCCATGTTCGATGAAAAACGATTCAGGATTACTATTTTTCCATGGTTGTTGACAGTTCACTATTTACATTATACGAACTATTGTCCTCATCTTTGTTGCCATATTTATTACAATGTTTCAGCTGTTGTATGCACCGGCCTTCTTACGGTGGTTGGAATGTTGAATTGATGTAGACACATGGCACAATGGATAAAGGCGTTGGCTAGATCCAGTGACAGGACCCAAAGAGTTGTGAGTTCAATACCTGGTTAAGGCAGTGTGGAGAACTTGGAGAGGGGAATTAACAGGAGATAACTGACATCCATTAAACATGGAAAGTGGAACTAGAACAGTCTACCCCATTGAGCAAAATAAAGGGTTCAGTTCAACATTCCAACTGCCTGAAGAAGGCCGAGCGTACAATGGCTGAAACGTTGTAATAAATATGGCGACAAAGATGAAGACAATAATCCGAATAATGTAAATAGTGTACATAATACCTCACCATAGAAATATAGACAGATATTTTTGACAGTTATGCATAAATATCTCACAAATCAAGTGGGGAAATTAAGGTGTTTATACTCACCAATTCATTTTTAAACCGTACCCATTCAAATCTGCTAGGTGTAATCTCCATGACGTGCTTATGGGCACCCATACGTTGGACAACTGAAAATGAAAAATGTCATTGCAAAATGTTATGCACATAGCAAATTAAATATTGCGGCTAAGGATCATTTGTTCTGATCTGATGTGTTTTTTTAAGGCTCATCATTCTTGTACAGATTATTTAAAACCAGAAAATATTTTTAGAGTGTAAGAATTTGGGTCGGGAAAGATAATGATTTAGTGATATGTCTCACTAATTATCCCATAGCTGGGGAAGAAGAGGTGGATTCATACCTAATTAGAAACAAACAAGAAATGTGGATATAAAATGGGGGATCAATTCTATATTACAAACAATATATAAACTGGTCCCTCACTTTGTGGTTATGAGATAAAAGAAACTAACTTCCCCTCTACTAATAGACATGATTATAAAGATTTAATGTTATTTCAATAATAATTTTTATATAAAGGGTTTGTTATTATTGAGCACTTTTTGGCAGAAATTCTTCTAGCTGGAAAAATACATGCAATTTTCATATTTTTTCAGTTGTAATAGGTAGGTATCAAAACCAAAAATTTTATTTTCAATATATCTAAAAACCTTTAGTACAGGCATAGAATGCTTGACAAAACATGAAAAACTGTACAAAATTTATCATTGGGACCTCAGCTAGCAGTGACATCATAACCATTCAAAGTGAGTATTCTGTCTTGTGTGGTATCAAGCCAGGAGCCAATTTTAAATGTTGATAACTGAAAATGCAGGCTTCAGAATAATTACAAATCATAAATGTAATGCCATATAGTTAGTCTTGAGGAAAATAAAAATAATACTAATAAAATCAATAATTATTTAAATTATTCAGACTATTGTTCTCATCTTTGTCGCCAAAGGACCCAAAGAGTGTGAGTTCAATACCCAGTTAAGGTAGTGGAGAACTTGGAGAGGGGAATTAACAGGAGATAACTGATATCCATTAAACATGGCATGTGGAACTAGAACAGTCTACCCCAGTGAGCAAAATAAAAGGGTTCAGTTCGACATTCCAACCATCTGAAGAAGGCCGGAGTGTACAATGGCCAAAACGTTGTAATAAATATGGTGACAAAAGATGAGGACAATAGTCCGAATAATGTAAATAGTGTACATAATACCTCATCTCAGAAATATAGACAGATACTGAAGGGCCGAAACTTTGTAATAAATATGGTGACAAAGATGAGGACAATAGTCCGAACAATGTAAATAGTGTACATAATACCTCATCTCAGAAATATAGACAAATCAATAATTATTAGATCGGCCAACTTTAGAAAAAATTGCTTTCTCAAAAACAAAATCATTAAGACACGAGACAGAAGGGCACATTTAACTGTCCATACAAATATAATTTAAAAATTAATGCCTTGTAACTTTTTGGTATGTGTTGGGTTACCACCTCCTAATTTTTGAAACAGCTACTTGGGGGACACTTTTGGGTACTATAAATATTCAGTAATATCTTTTCTCACCATCCTTTTCTCATTTTTTTTGCATATACATGTCAACATGTAAATTTCTTGTGGAAGAGCGTGTTCCCTTTTTGGGACACGCATGAACAAGTCACACACACACATGTACATATGCACATTTCACTTCATTTTTTCTAGGATTTTCTCCTACACCGAACTATGCATACACAAACAATTCACTAGCTCAAGTGTTTTCTTCATTCAAGTTCATTGTTCAGCAACACAACATTCTATTGTGAATACATTATCATTTTTTTTTGTACACATATATATTGGTCCTTGTTGTTTCTCATTACATTTTTTTTTGGTGGACTCATACTCAGAGTCTACCATAATTGTTGTGGGCATTTCAGGAGACACAGGTGTTTATCTCTCAATGCATACATCTGGCTCGCAACAGTATGATTCACAGAGATGAAGCTAATTCTTTTTCAATAGTACATCACTAGAAAAAAAAACAAAAAAAAAAAAACACACACCTCATATTTACCCCACGTAAAAATAAGCCTGAAATGTTACTAATTTTGTGATTAGTATTTAATACAACAGTTCTTTTCTGTGTAATCTGAATACCTTTTCACATATATGCATTTCATTTTTGAAAATTTTGTGGAATACAATTTTTAACTTTTTAAAAAGAAACAGTAATAATTACAAAATTTAGAAATTTGTTTCAGGAAATGAATCACTTGTCAATCCTTCAAACAAATGTTTCTTGCAAAACTTTAAACTCTTCTATCTTTAAACTAAAAACACTTAAATTAATAAAAATACATTTATTGGAACTGATGACAAAAGACTTTCTGGATAGTGGGAATGGTACTCCTGCATTTCCTCTTCTAATGGGAATTTGCAGCCTGAATTTGTTGATGAGCCTCTATATTATAGCCAATGTCCTTGGAGCACTTCATATCCATATTTTTGGTAAACCGAGTTCCTATTTTATAAAATAAAAATTCTCCAAGGACATCTGCTTATAACTAATATAAATATTTAAGCCGTACAAAAATGAATTTCTCTAAATTTCATAAAATTAAATAAATGGGTGGTAACAGATGTAAAAAAAAAAAAAAGAAAAAGAAAAAGCAAAGCCTTTCTAAAATAATTCATTCGTGAATTGTATTTACTTGACTCCCACCACTGAGCCCACTAAGTCAGGTTGTGACATAAAGTTGGTTTTTAATGTGGGAACCTGAGTGTCTTCACTCAGGCCACTGGTATAAGCTGGTCAGAGCCGGTCTGAGCTAGTCCAAGCTGGTCAGAGCCAGTCCAAGCTAGTCATGGCTATTATACTACCAGTGCAGGGATGGATCCCTGTGACAAGTAAGTATCAGAATGCGTATACCACGAGAGAGAGAGTGATTTACACATTCAAAATAATTTTCTAAGCATAGCTTAGACATGGCACACGGCCAAGAGTGTGAGGATCAAACTCGCTATTTAGTCGTAATTGTTTTAGTGAGACAAGCTTGCTAACCATTACACCATGCCGAGGTGCCCTTTTTAGAAATAGAAAATTCTACATTACTTCTTGAAGCAAGTATATAAGACATTCCAAAATTTAATCTCATTATACAACTAAGCTTGTATGTATATTGATTTTCCAAGTGTAACTTAGATGTGGCATATGGCAGAAAGTATAGGGCATCCAGTGAGGATTGAACTCACTATTTAGTCATAAATGTTTTAGTGAGACAAGCTTGCTAACCATTACACCATGGTGAGGTGTCCAAATTCATTTGTGAATAAGTCCTGAAAGTTTCATTTAAAAATCTGACAATTACTTGATTTTTGCAAGAATTTCCATATAAATATGGTTTTTCATTAAACAAAATTTTGAAGGTTCTAAAAAGGATTAAAAATTTATAATTTAATAATCAAAAAAATCCTTTGGTCTTTTCTCTTAATGTTTTTTTTTTTTTTAGGATATTTTTTCATCATGGTATGCTCATTTTTTAGCAAACGTTTAGACGTATCTAGATTAGTCTTTGTTCATTATTGTAATTAATTATTAGGGATGCATTTTTAAATGTTGTTCTCATACCTACCCACAAAAAACAAAGCAAATGAGACTAGTTAGGACTTGAAAGAGATTATGTTGTATTGTGGTTACTATAAATGTGAAAGGGAAGTAAAAATGTTATTTTGTGGACTCATACTCTGAGTCTACCACAATTGTTGTGGGCATTTCAGGAGACACAGGTGTTTATCTCTCAATGCATACATCTGGCTCGCAACAGTATGATTCACAGAGATGAAGCTAATTCTTTTTCAATAGTACATCACTAGAAAAAAATAAATAAATAAAAAAACCAAACACACACACCTCATATTTACCCCACGTGACTAATTTTGTGATGAGGCATTTAAAATACAACAGTTCTTTTCTCTGTAATTTGAATACCTTTCCTCATATATGCATCTAATTTTTGAAAATTTTGTGAAATTATACAATTTTTAACTTTTTAAACAAACGTTTCTTGAAAAACTTTTTAAACTCTCCTAAAAACACTGAAATTGATAAACAAAAATTCTCGGAGGACACCTACTTAACTAAACTTTTAAGCCGTACAAAAACGACTTTCTCCAGATTTCATAAAATTAAATAAATGGGTGGTAACGGATGTAAAAAAAGTAAAAAAGCGAAGCATTTCTAAAATGATTTAATTCATTTGTAAATTGTATTTACAGTTACTTATTTGTTGTAATGTGGTTAAATGTGAAAAGGGAAGTAAAAATGTGATGCTTTAGTGGAAGGAATTATTATGTAATTTATTTATCATATGTCAGTGTTAGGCTAGACTGCAGCCTCGCAGCCCTTAAGGTTTTATAAAAACAAAGCAGTGATTTTAATTTTCTAGATGTTATATAACTTCTGTTTATTTTTCTTACTGCTACGGTTGTGTTGAAATATGAGCTAATTTGGTTTTTGCAATAATAGCGGTATTATAGAATATTTTTTTACTGGCAAACAAAAGATGTACATTGATGAAGAATAATGTATTGTACACACTGGTACATTAAAAAACAAAACATCGAGATGGCTAGGGTCACATTGTACACAAGGATGTACATTGTAAATTCATTCCCTGTTTTTTTTTAGCTTCAGAAACACGGGGTCAGACACTTTTATGTCGTATTACACACACACACACACACACACACACACACACACACACACACACTAAAGAATACGGTAACTACGTTAAACAATAGCATCCCCACTTTGATCATTTTTAATTTTAGGTCTTGTGCCATAACAAAAATGATGTGACACCAACCCTAAAAATGAGAAAAGTGGGGGTGCTATTGCTAAAGTTCTGTTCTAGTCACAATGGCGCGAATAGTTAGTCTTTAACTTAGTTAACTTTAATAATCATCATGGAGAGAATGTGTTCGTTGTATTGTGGTAAAAAACGAATAGGATTGAGAAATTGGAAAGTTGATGTTTTGGTGACGAACATTATCGAATTAAGTTTGTTTTGGTTTGGTTTTACGGTAAATCAACCTCAATGGGTTAAATTAAAAGGCCGACAAAATTTTTATTGTTGGTAATATTTTTTTAAAAATCTATTTGTGGTAATATTTTTCCATTATCGAATTAAGTAGCCTAAGATTGTCAATACCGTCCTTAAGGGCAGCCTTTCTGCAAATTTTATTGCTATTTAGAGTATTTTTGTAATAATCATGCGTTTCACCTGCAAATCGCGTAGTATTGGAGGTCAGGCTGTACCCGGGACACAAATTGTCAATATCTCATAAAAGGTAAATTTCCCTTAATTTATAATGTTATTTTTTGAATAATCAGGCTTTTATTTTATTTTTTATTTTTTATTTTTTATACCAGGCGTGATATTTAAAAAAAATGGTCACTGGGGTATTATCTGCAAATTTACCTAAATATCATTAGCAAAAATCAGTCCTAAAGTTCTTTCGGAACGAAACGCGTCATTAAATTGAATTTAATTTAAATTGTTTCCATTCCCTTTCCTACCAATATATTCTTATATATATATATTTATTTTCTTTTATATAAATACTGCGCCCCAACAAATAATAAACATTGACAACCCCCACAAAAAAAACTTTTCTTTAAAGATTAAAGAATATTCATTTAACAAATAAATAACAATGAAATCAGCTATGTTTCCATCGCAAGGTCAATACGATATGAACCGAAAGGACATTTTGGCAGGGTAATCACGACGAGGTGTACTTATACTTTGCCACTTACCTTCTTTGGAGACACCAGAAGTCCTTAGTAACGGTTGGGACAGTTTGGAGCTCCCTGACAATCGAAATGTTATACATCGTTGCCAACAGGACGACCTTAACGCACTCAAAACCACCATGTTCTTTTCGAGAAGGTAATGTCAGGTCGCTTATGAAGTTAACGAAATATATACATTTTCGGATATGACAAAGTTTAAACTTTAAATATAAATATATAACAAAAATGCATCGAAGTATTTTTGAGCGCAAAGAAAAATTAAATGGCTACTTCCATTCCCTTTTGTAATATTTATATGAATTGTTTTAAAAAAAGATAATGAATTTTCAATGTAATTCTTTGGGTTATAAGCGGCTCTTCGACGCCTGCATATCATTCTTTCATTGAAAAAAAAAATTGCTATTTATGTTGTTAAAATAAAAAATAATTATCTGAAATTTTTTTTATAGAATTATCGTAATTCTAAAAAAAAAAAAAATATTAGTGAAAAAAGTTATTTTTTTTAATTGCTATTAAAAACTTAAACGGTTATGGTTCGGTGTTTTTATTTGTGAGTCAACAATCGTATTTAAAGTTGATGTAGACATTTTATTTGTTTCAAAGAAATTTTAAGTGAAATATTTCGAATATACAATGAAAAATATTCAATAAAACCATAAGAAAATGAAGAAATAATTCCTCATTACTAGATTTATATAATATAAAAAGAGACGATTCCCATGTAAGCATCGGTGGTTCAGTGGTAGAATGCTCGCCTGCCACGCGGGCGGCCCGGGTTCGATTCCCGGCCGATGCATCTTCTTTTAACCCCCTTTTCAAAAAAGATTCAGTTATCATTTTTTTTCATGCAGCACAAATCGAATTGTTCCTGATACTTTTTTTTTTTATAGAGTCTTTTAAATTTTTGTTTTTCTTTCTTAAATATTGAAAAGAAATTTATTAAAGTTTATAAAGATAAAAATTTTAGGAAAAAAAAAATTACATTTAATTTAAGTTCTTTCTTCCTTTAATTTAATTTAAATTAAAGGAAAAAATATTTTTTTTAATTATCTGGAAAAGTTGTAACATAGAATTTAAATTTGAGTGTGTGTGTGTGTGTGAGAATGCATTATGTGTATGTGTGTGTGTTGACATATATTTTTACTTCAGTAGTTTTTTATTAAAGAAGAAGAAAAAAAGACTTTTTTGGCTTTCTACTCCAGATTGTTTATTCTTATTTATTTATTTATTTATTTATACAGTGTAACCCGGATATAAGAGACCCGGATATAAGAGAAACCCGGATATAAGAGAGATTTTCTCTGGTCCCAAATTAGAGCCTGTGTTAATGTATATAAAATAGACCAAACCCGGATATAAGAGAAACCCGGATATAAGAGACTTCTTCTCCGGTCCCGACAACTCTCTTATATCCGGGTTATACTGTATTTTTTTTTCATTCCAACCCATGCAGGTTCCTTTTTAACATCATGGGAAAATGTATTTCTTTTTTAAAAAATTCTTTGTTATTTATTATTATTCTATAACTTAATTTTGAGGCACGTAATGATGGATCGAGGCTCGAATTGAGGAACCGGAGAACCGAGTTCGAATTTCAGTTGGATCCATTACATTCACTTACGTGCTATTAACCTTGGAAAAGGTATGAATCCTCTTCTTCTCCTCCGTCCCCAAGCGATAGATAAATAGCGGGATAGATTGTTCTATTGGTGGTTATAGAAAAAATATTTATTGTTGAACCAAAGTATTGTTTCATATCGTTATTTCTCTTCTCGTTGTTTGCTTGCTTTTTCTTACATTCGTTGGGATTTGTGAAATAATAAAAAAAGAAAAAAAAAGTAGCGGGTTAATCGCATTTCTGTCAACCCTTTACAGATTGGTAAACACGTCTTGTTGATGGCATTATTAACCCCACTACAATTGCCATATCCACGAAGTTTCGGCTGTTGTACGCTCCGGCCTTCTTCAGGTGGTTAATGTAAATAATTACAATACCTCATTTCAGAAATATAGACAGATAATAAATGATCCGTAGTAGAAGCCCAAGTTTTCGTTGAGTCTTCTTTATGAACACACACACACACGTAACCTTCAAATCCATACGTTGTTTTCCTTGACTTTTTTTTACCCCTCTTTCATGTTCATTGCAGTTTGTTTCGGGTCATTATTTTCGCCTAGTGCTTCACACTAGAAAGGCGTTTTCGTCCATTAACAATAATCATGGTCTTTTTCATCGTCCCCCGCCCCAAACCAAAATGTCAGTCGCTTATTTATTTACGTGCCAGTGGTGATTTGGTTATATTAGGCGTGCCCCGCAAACAATGGAATGTGCGATCAAGCAAGATGCCCCAGTTTGGAACAGAAACGGCCAATTTACGCAATCACAATCTATTTTTCGGTCAGCACTTAATTGATAATCCCGTCTGTGTCAACACTTGTTGGATTAACCACCCCCTGACGATAATCTCAGGCGACGCAAGATTTGAAACATACACAAGAAATCATATTTCAAAAAGGGAATCTATTTCAATCTGTATTTGCTGGATTTCCGCCCCCTGACGATAATCGCAGACAGCGTGAGATTTGAAAGCCTCTTATTTTTTTTCCGTTTTGTAACAGGTCCGTTTAATATTTTTATTAATACTTGTTTGTTCAAAAGCCATGTTTTATTTTCTCATCTTTAACCGGATTCACATGAGTCCGTCAAATATTGTTTGCGGGACAAATGTTCCAGGAGACATAGAATGAGTAATTCTCATTCTCGCAACAAATGTGGTGACTTGTAGATTGGCCACGACATTCAGAAACATACACGACAAATCAAATTTCATAAGAAAATGTTTTTAAATCTATAATACAAAAAAATACTCCCTTTCGAATTGAAAAATAAATTATAGATATAGAAACTATCTTCAGCTTGCAGTCTCCATACTTGGAAATATTCATCATTCACCGTTTCCGTTTGAGAAATACGTCCACGTTAGTGACATAGAAGATAAATCTGGCCTACTCGAATCCACGCTGGGAAATATAAATATGGCTTCGCCAAAAGCACAGAAGACCCCCACCCCCATCGACAGCTTGAATTCCTGTTGTGAGTTATTACAAGTAAGACTCTATGTCTGTTCGCTATTTTTTGCCCTAGTTGTTGTTGCATACATGTGTTATAGTTTCCTTGTGTGGGACACGTGTAAATATTTGTATATAATTTTGTGTATGTCTTAGCGATATAAAGCTCTCTCTGGACACAAAGCATGTTTGTCATTCCTTTTATTTCAGCTATTCCGTTCGGTCTGTGAAATAAGGTGTTATAGTATCATGGATATATTAATGCACATAATGGGGGAAATAAGGTTAAGGAATATTTCTTTTTCGCATAGTACTCCCATCATCTGGTGATTTAGCCGACGTGCACTGATATTAACTCACGCTATTTTTTTTTTATCAAAATTCCAAAAATAACTTTTTAAAACAATAAAAATTGCTGTATATATATATGGCAATAACGATGTCAAGAGAAAAATATCTTTTTGCCAAACAGGCTTATTTTTTATTTATTTTTTTGCCTGATCCTAATTTTTTTTTCATCTGATAATCACGAAAATCGTCACAAGTAATTCTTTCTTGCTATAAACGCTATTTTAATGGGTACACGTATTTTAGTAGACATTCCGTTTTACACGGCTTGAAAAAGCGAAGATATGTTGAAAGTAGCTATCAAAAGAAACAGGTGGAACGATTTCTCTAAAGCGGCCAGCTTTTCGATCATCAGAGGGGATCGTTGGAAGATTTTTAAATGTTAAACCATGTGCAGCCGTCCGAGTACGCGTCCGTCTCGCACGGGTGCGCACTTCAGGACAACCAGATAAACGCCTTAGAGCAATTAAGACTCTGAAAACAAAGTCCTGTTGATCAGCAAATTTATTAAAAGCCTGAAGGGTAAAACAGGAATGCTATCGTTGGGGGGCTAGATTTACGGGGAGGAGAGAGAGAGAAAAAACCCTGAATAGAGCCATGCTTTTACAGTACTGATTCCGGTGATAACTAAAGGGCTAACAGGAATTGGTAAAATATTCTTACCCTCAGTAAAAAGTATCATTTTTGTTCTCATTTTTCTTAAAACCTCCTTGTTGCTCTGATATTACATCCGTAATATTCTCAGCATCTTTCTGTTGGCCCATCATCGCTGAGGAAACTGTCCCGCATTCCCTGTCATAAAGGAGGATTGATCAACACGGCTGATGCTAACCTCCAGGAGATTGACGTCTCAGTCTAACGTTTTATATTGGCATGAACGGGAAAGATTATACTGAATCGATTGCTAGTTCAGCTGCTAGGAAAGTTGGTTCACTGTGCCGTAATAGACACTTTTTCTTGTCAGAATCTATTTTACATATTTATACCATTCACCCTTTCTTTGAATATTGATAAAATCCAAAGAAGAATCTGCAATGTTATTGTTCCTGAACTGGCATCTCGGCCTCAGTCACTATTCCACTGCCGTAACGCAGTTTCCCTGTGTCTTTTCTATAAAGACTTTCATGTTAATTGTTCTAAAGAAATTTCCTCTATTGGACCAAGACTTTATGAATTTAAGCGTATAACTAAATTGGCGGCAATGGCTTACCATTTTACAGTTGAAGTAGACAACTCATATCGTGAATATACACGATATGAGTTGTCCCCCTTGGACCAGTCTTTGGGTCCTGTCACTGGATCTAACTAACGCCTTTATCCACTGTGCCATGTGTCCTTGAGGACACATGGCACAGTGGGAGTATGTTCAATACCCGGTTAAGGCAGTGGAGAATTTTCAGACGGAAACTAGCAGGAGATAACTGATAACTAACACCCATTAAAAACATGGCATGTGGAACTAGAATATTCTACTCCAGTGAGCGAAATAAAGGGTTCACTTCGACATTCCAACCACCTGAAGAAGGCCGGAGCATACAACGGCGGAAATGTTGTAATAGATATGGCAACAAAAATGAGGACAATAGTCTGAATAATGTAAATAGTGTACCTCATCTCAGAAATATAGACAGATACTAAAGGGCCGAAACGTTGTAATAAATATGGCAACAAAGATGAGGACAATAGTCCGAATAATGTAAATAG